CTGTAGGTGCTGCTGTCTCACATCTCTGTGTGTATATCTCACCTGTAGGTGCTGCTGTCTCACATCTATGCATGTATATCTCACCTGTAGGTGCTGCTGTCTCACATCTCTGTGTGTATATCTCACCTGTAGGTGCTGCTGTCTCACATCTCTGTGTATATATATCTCACCTGTAGGTGCTGCTGTCTCACATCTCTGTGTATGTATATCTCACCTGTAGGTGCTGCTGTCTCACATCTCTGTGTATATATATCTCACATGTAGGTGCTGCGTGTTGTGGCCAAGCACGACTACTGCGACGCGATCGTCTCCGAGTGTAACAGCACGTGCGTGACGCCCGCGCTGGCAGCGTGCGACGCCGCCGCCGACGCCTGCCACGCAATGTGCGGCGCGTGCACGCACGACGGCTCGGCGCACGAGTGCGCGCACGAGTGCACGGACGCGTGCGCCGCCGCCCGCGACGCCTGCAACGACGATGCCCTGCACGGCTGCGAGGGGGCGCTGGAGGCGTGCGCGGCGGACGACGAGGTTTGCGCGGAGATGCAGGATCACTACGGTGCGGAGGAGGAGTCGTCGGGACACCACGACGAGGAGACGACCATCACACCCACGGTCAGCGCGATAGGTGAGTGTGATCGCATAGGAATAATATAATTTTCGTGTGCCCCCTGGGCTAGTGAAGAGATTCACAGTTTTCACTGGCGGTGCCGCCGCGCGCAGCCTCTCTTCTTGACACCGTTTCCCCACTCTATCTCTTTTTGCTGAGTGGAAGTGTGAGTGCTGAGTGGAAGTGACTGCATTAGTGAAAGGTGTATATCACCCCTTGGGAGGGGGTAGGTCACACATACGGTTAGTGCGATAGGTGAGTGTGACTGCATAATGGAAGGTGGATATCACCCCTTGGGAGGGGGGAGGCCACACATACGGTTAGCGCAATAGGTGGGTGGGACTGCACGATGTAAGGTGTATATCCATGCTGTACTTACTTGGTCCTATCACCCCTAGGTAGGGTGGGAGGGCCCAGGGGGGAAGGTCACACATACGATCAGCGCAATAAGTGAGTTTGGCCGAGTCGTAATACGTGTATATCTATGCTGTGCTTACTTTGTTACTAACTTCTGTCAACTGATCTCTTATGCCTTCTATAATGTGTATTCATCTGAAATCTCCGTGGTGTTACTGCGTGTGTCGTGTAGTCGCGTACGGGGTGAGCGTGCACACCGCAGACGTGAAGAACGCGGGAACAGACGCCGGCGTGTCCCTACAGCTGCATGGCCACCACGAAACGTCCGGCTACGTCCTGCTCGAATCGTCCGGCAACAGCTTCGAACGTCGAAGGTGAGAGTCAAGGTCGTTGAGGAGGGAGATCTGTGTGTAAACTCTGAGATGGATTAAATCGTAAAGGTGTTGCTCAGGCGTGTTCTATGTACTGATGCGTTATATGTGTCAGGAGTGAATGAAGACTAAACCGTTTTGTTATGTTTTTGTTGCGTTGTTTTGTTTTACACACTCCTGATGCCCGTGTTACAATTAACTCTGCATTATAAACTAGACAGTGTGCACTCACGGAGTGCATACCTCCGCCGACGACATACACCATATGCCATACGACTAATGAACACACGAATAACCCACGATATACGCCAGCGTACTGACATGTACACGCTCCCATGTAACATGTATGTGTTACGAGCTGGCTCGCTGGGCTCGCTGGCTTGCTGACTCGCCGGCTCGCTGGGTGATATCGATCGACCGCCAATGACATACACCATACGCCATACGACTCGACGCGCTCATATCGATCGCGCGAACACACGAACACACTAACACACGAGAGCGAAAACATAACCTTTTTCAACTCCGTTGGGCGGAGGTAATAATATTTAATAAATATAATGTAATCATAAAAACAATCATATATATATATATATTCAAAATATGTGTGTGTGTGTGTGTGTGTGTGTGTGTGTGTGCGTGCGTGCGTGCGTGCGTGCGTGCGTGCGTGCGTGCGTGCGTGCGTGCGTGCGTGCGTGCGTGCGGCGTGCGTGCGTGCGTGCGTGCGTGCGTGCGTGCGTGCGTGTGTGTGTGTCGTTGT